TTATTTTTATTACTTTATTATCTCCCTTATACGTGACTTTACCGAAAGAACCAAGAAGATGAAAGATCCTTATCGTCAAATGCTTTGAAGCGAGGTTGCCCGGGACTCGCTTCAGAGATTTGTTTCGGGCCTTTGAGATTAATAAATATTTATTTGTAAATTTCCGCCCCCCACCCCAGCCCTCCCCCCCCCGGTCCTTCCCTTGGCGCGCTTCCTGTTATTAAGAGGCTGGAAATAACGGTGGCCACGGGGATGCGCAGCGGCAAGTTTGCGCGAGTGAAAAAGAAAAAAGTCCTTGGAAGAAGAGTCGACCGTCCCGGAGCGGACGGCGAGAAGAGAATGAGTCCAAGGACTGGACACAAGGAGACCCCTTTGCCTCTTTCCTTCTTTTACGACCGGGTCAGAGATGCTCGCGAGGAATCTATTTTTATTTTTAACGCAGCTCAAACCCATCCCCGCCCCCGCCCCCCTTGGGAAAAAAAGGTTTAAAAAAAAATAGATGATGTAATTACGACAACGGTTCGTTTGTTTTTGTTGGGTCCTTGTTCGCCGCGCTGAGAAAAGCTTTCCGTCGGCGGGGCGGCAGGGCTCACGAACATCACCGCTCGGTCTCGACGCCAAACGATGCCCAGTAGCGGCCTCGTAAAATTAACGAAACTAACAAAATATATTCTTTTGTTTTTCCAGGTAAGGCACCGCTGAGCTACGTAGCTCTTTTCCAGAAGCGACCCTGGCTATCGCAAATGATAGCCTCAATGGCGTGGCTTATCATCGCGTGGAAATGTATCGCGGCCAAATACTCCTGAAGACGTGATGTCGATTTTAAATGTGGAGGGTAAAACCAGAGGACCCGGAGGAAAAATCCACACGATCCACGGGGGGAGAGACACGCAAACTCCAAATATACAGTAGCAGGCGTCAGGGTCGGGATCGAACCCACGACCCCCTGCATACCGGGTGAGGTAGTCAACATCTCGCCACCTGTGGTGCTACGGAATGGAAACGTGGACGCTGACAGCGAGAACATAACGAGAGCGCAAAGGAGCAAAGGGGACGTCCGTTGCTTGGCTTTCACACCGAGAGATGCGAAGATAGTTTCATCTTCGTCAATGCCGGCCTCCACGGGGGCCTTCTCGACACGCACGGAGAACGTGGCGGGCAAAGTTAAAAATACTTGACGTTGATTTGTTAAGATGAGCGAGTGGGCCTGGGGGTTGGACACGTGGCACGACGGGTTGACGTTCAGAGTGGTTGACGACTGACCGAGTGGCAGCATGTCGTCGCTCTTCTGCAGAGACGGCGCCATGAGATTCACGGCTAGCGTTGCGAGACGGCCTTGGCAAGGCCGTCACCCAGCAGTGGCTAGATCAGGGCTGATGATGATGATGACGACGACGACGAGGGATGATGTAACATGGCACCCGGCCACTGGCTCAAGATTCATTATTTAAGCTCTCAATAAATACACCGGATCTCTCAAATACCCCAAGGCTCCCTCCCTCTGTCCAAGTCCCGAGTCAACCTTCCTCTCGGTGGGAGGTCGCTCATTCTTCCCCGCAGGGCTCCACAACTCTCCGCCCTCCGTCTGCGATGTCAACTCCCCGCACCTGGTCAAGTCCAGGCTCAAGGCCTTCCCCCGCGTCTCCTCCGTCTCATCTCTTACGAAATAAACGCGCGAGCCCGCTAATTTCGCTAAAGGGCTCACGATTGGGGGGCCAGGGGGTTATTTCTCGTCGCCAGAGTTCGCAGACGGCGAGCGACGGGAGTTAACGGAGAACATCTCGGGCTGCCGCCTCGCTTGTGCGCGACGTTCGCCCGCGCGCCAGCGAGGGAAACTCGGCGCGGCGAGGAATGCTAATTAATATTTCCAAAGCGCGGTCGGTCAAGACGCGCGCCATCTGCTCCCCCCCCGCAAACTTCCGAGGGGGGGGCCGGGGGTGCGCAGTGGACGGGGCGGGGGAGGGGGGGCTAGCAAAGCGGGTAGACGCTGTCCAGGCGGTGTCACGCGGTCAAACGAGCCGGCCCTCCGTGACGACGCAACTGGAACAGCGAGAAACGAGACTCCGGAAACTTTCCTCCTCTGCGAAGGAGGCCTCTAAATGCTCAATTCATTTTCACCTCCCCCCCTGGGATCGCTCGAATTAGTCTCGAGATTTGCTTTCAAAGACGGTCCCCCCCACCACCCCCCCACCCACCCCCCTCCCCCCCGGCTTAACATGAACATCAAGGAGATAAACCGAGCTAATCATTAATTACATTTACGAATGTGCGGATTGACCAAATCGCCCCCAACGCAAAAGCGGGCTCATGTAAAAGCGTCTCTCAATGCCGCGGTGGAGGGGCGGGGGGGGAGGGGCAGGGGGGGTGTCGTGCGGGAAAAACCGATGTCATCGTCCTTGTTGTTGTTACCGATGAGAGCGCCACATTGGGAGCGCAGTAGGGCCATCGTGGGTTCGCCGATCGACGTACGTGTGTATGTTGAACTTTTTTCGCGTCATACGTCGCCAACCGTGCTAATCGGAGGTGCCGTGCGGCGCCGCGTGCACGTGCACGGATCCGGGCGCCTTCTCCGGCCACCAGAGGCCAAAAAACGCGAGTGCGATCATTGGCATTGTTACCCAACATGCCGCCACCACCCACTGCCCCCTCCTCCCCCGCCTCCCAATCGCCGACAGGTCAACCAGGGCGCAACGTTACAGCGGCAGCACCCTCGGTCATGTGGACGCCGGGGGGGTGCAGGAGATGCGGGAATTAGCGCGGCCACCAGAAACCCGAGGCTGGGCAGTGGCGGCGGTGGTGGCGTTGCGAGGGGGGTGGCGGTGGAGGAGGGGGGGGGTGAGTGGTGGCGCCGCTGTTGTCAAGGCGCGAGGTTATGAAGAGCAAAGCGGCAGGGTCGACGACTCATTGTGAGCACAGTCACGCGGGGAAATGTTGCTGGGGCAAGCCGCGCCGCGCCGTGCCGTGCCGCGCCGTGCCGCGCCGGTGTCCCTCGCGAGCTGCCAGCGATTCGGAGAGCGGCCGTGACAATCCACGGCGCGCGCGCCTTCTACTTTATAGTTTACTTCGGCTTAAAACTTCCGAAGCGTCGTTACGGGCGGACGGACGCCGCGCGAGCTTGCGCAATCGCGACGTCGAGATGGGATTCCATCGGCTCTCTTCTCAACGCCTACCGGAGGGAACCACGGGCGGGCGGACGGGGAGGGGGGGGTAGCAAGGCGACAGCCGGTCTCCCCCCCCTCAGCACCACCAGAGTTGTAATAGGCACCCGAGTGTAACGCGTATGTATACTGTATGTTGAGCTTCTTTCGCGCCGTACGTAGCCAACCGTGCTAATCGGGGGTGCGAAGTGAGTGGATGAGCGAGTGACTGGCTTAGTGAGTGAGCGAGAGGGTGAGTGAGCAAGCGAGCGAGCGGCTGAGCAAGTGAGTGGCTGAGCGAATGAGTGGGTGGGTGAGTGAATGAGTGAGTCAGTGGGTGAGCGGCTGAGTAAGTGAGTGGGTGAGCGAGTGTGTGAGCGAGAGGGTGAGCAAGCAAGCGAGCGAGCGGCCGAGCAAGTAGGTGGGTGGGTGAGTGAGCGAATGAGTGGGCGAGTGAATGAGTGGGTGAGCGGCTGAGTGACTGAGCGGGTGAGCGAGTGTGTGAGCGTGAGGGTGAGTAAGCAAGCGAGCGAATGGCTGAGCAAGCGAGTGGCTGAGTGAGTGAGTAGGTGGGCGAGTAAATGAGTGAGTGAGTGAGTGGGTGAGCGGCTGAGTGAGTCAGTGGGTGAGCGGCTGAGCGACTGAGTGGGTGAGCGAGTGTGTGAGCATGAGGGTAAGCAAGCGAGCGAGTGGCTGAGCAAGCGAGTGGCTGAGCGAGTGAGTAGGTGGGCGAGTGAATGAGTGAGTGAGTGGGTGAGCGGCAGAGTGAGTGGGTGAGCGGCTGGGTGACTGAGCGGGTGAGCGACTGTGTGAGCGAGTGGCTGAGCAAGTAGGCTCCGTCCGGTAGACCGAGTTGGGTGTGGGATCAGCATCAAGTGGCAAAACGCCATGGGAGCTCGCCAGCAGAGGGGGAAGGGGTGTAGGGCACTTACAATGGAAATGACTGTGATTTATATGCGGCTCAGATTCCATTGTCACACAAAGAGGAATTTACACTTGTGAATGGAATACGGCGTTAGTGGCGTTTTAACAGAGCACTTGGCCCCCGCCAAGCGTGCACATGTCAATCCGCTGCTGGATGAACGCCTCCCCGGGCCGTGCGAGTATCCGGAGATTGTGACGACCGTACTTCACCACGCCGGTCGGTGGCCGGTTGGTGGCGAGGCAAGCGTACGAGTAGAGTACAACGAAGGACTTCCCCCGTCGGTTCCAACCCCGTTCAGGAATTCGAACTCAAATCTCCCAGCTCTCCCGGGAAGACGTCGTACCGGAGGTGACGGTTTAAGGGCATCACCCCGCCGCCAAAGTCGGCCCCGTTCAGGCACCGAACATCCAACGGCACAGTGCTGTGGTACGAACTTCTCTAGTCCCTGCTGATCAGACTCGGCGCTCGCTTGTTGTGCCGCACATGGCGTTGCGCCGCCGCGTGCCGTTCGGCACGACGTCCCGACGTTTCGCTACGTGCGCCGGTGGGGAGCTTAATGACAAAACTGATTTCCCGGGACGCGGAGCGGAACGTCGGACATCGCCTCCGATTAGCACGGTTGGCTAGGTACGGTGCGAAATAAATTCATGCACACATACATCACCACGATTGGCTACATTCACTCTAAGCGACCTGACCTTTTCTCAGTGCTTCATGAAAGACTATGAAGACGACGATGACGACGACAATGACGACGACAATGACGACGACAATGACGACAATGATGACGACGACAATGACAATGACGACAATGATGACGACGACGACGACAATGATGACGACGATGACGACAATGATGACGACGACAATGACAATGACTGACGACAATGACGACGACGATGACGACGATTACGATTTGTCTCTTTCTTGGGCCTCACCTCAGTGACATCCATGACTTTAATCGCGGCCAGCTGTCCAGTCTTGACGTGACGACCCTGCACCATCAAACACAGGCGACGGGACGCAGAGGGGAAGGAGAGGGGACAGACGGAGCCACAGAGACAAGAGAGAATAACAGGTTAACAAATGTTGCGATCACCGTTTTGCTGTTGTTTACAGCGCGCGGCTTTTACACCATTTCTCCATTTGTTTATTCCATTTTCATTTTCTGCGGGGTTTTCACCGACTTAATAATTTGCTACAAATATGATTTTTCCTCGAATGCGATTGTGGATGTAATTAATGAACAGCGTTGTGAGACGTAATTAGCATGAATGACGCCGTATACAGTTACATTCGAATAATTATTATTATTAAAACCAACACCCAGAGCGTCGCTCTCGCTCACCACGCTTACAGTTTGGCGAACGCGCCAAAAAAACGCAACGTTTATAAATTAAACTTACAGCTCTCTGCCAATCCACTGCTGGATCAGGGCCTCCACCATAACCGTATCGGGTCACCGGGAGGTTGCTTGACCATACTTCACCGCACACGCTGGCAAGCGCCGTTTGGATAATCGGTCGTCGCCGACGCCATTAACCGCGAGCCGCCCGCTCCACACCTCGCGCCAAACGTGCGTCTTCTTCGGTCGAATTCGAATAGCAAACGTCTTCGAGGGTATCTCTAGTTCAGATTTCACCAAATGCACGAAATCATTACTACTACTACAGAGCTGATCTCTTCGTCAGCTCGACAGCAGCGGTAACGGTGGAAGTGGCGGCGGTACCCCCGCCGCGGATGCCCTCCCATACGCCGCGTGCATCTTGTACAGTGTCTCTGTTCGGTCTCCATCGCTCTCACCCTGGCATTCAGCCCAATCCCCGAGCACGCACGCAACACCAGCGGAATCCCCTTCACGACCACCAACGCCGCTGCCGCCGCCGCCGGCACCGGCCCGGCTGGAAGTCGTTACGCACGCGGGAGTCGTCACCGGTACGGTCGTCGGGATAACCACGGTGGCTCGCTCGGCCGGAACCTGCACGACTTGCTGGCGGGGGCAAGTCGCGCAGGCGACGCGGACTTAACCAAGGCTGGTGGTGCAGGCGGCGCAACTGCGCCGAGGCCCCCGCACACGGTTGGCGGAACTACGGTTGGGGATCACCGGGTTAAAGGTCGAGGGGAGACGTGGCGACGCTCGCGAACCACCCCGCCGGCAAGACGGGAACTGGGTTCGATTCTCGGCAATCCCGCGGCTTAACGCTGCTTTCGCCAACAGGAGCCTCACGCGCGTAAGAGCGCGAGGAAACCCGGTGCATCTTCTTGGTTCTTTCGGTAAAGTCACGTAGAAGGGAAATAATAAAATAATAAAAATAAAACATAATAAAATAATTCTCACGACGTTTCGGCCACAACGCAAGCAGCCGTGAAGAACAGGGCTGTCGGAAAGACAATGTCTGATCTGTTCTTCACCTGAGGACGGCTGCTTGCGTTGTGGCCGAAACGTCGTGAGAATTGTATTTTATTATGTTTTATTTTTATTATTCTATTACTTCCCTTCTACGTGACTTTACCGAAGGAACCAAGAAGATGAATCCCTGCAGTCACGAAAGCTTTAAATCGAAAAAGAAACCTGGTGCGTGAAGTTACGGCGCCGTGCGCCAGCAAAAAAAAAAAACGCGGAAAGGGCGACGGTGAGGACGGGGAAGGGACGGTGAGGACGGGGGGGGGGGGGGGGGGGGGACGGTGTCTTTCTCGCGGATTTAATTTGCGGCTCCACTCCGGCATCGACCGCGGCAGTTCGGCCGTAAACCCCGTCGTCTGTCACGCGTCAACACGACGGCTACGACGGGGCCCAGCGGTGGGCGACGCTGTCGGCGGCGATGTCGTAAATTACGGCGCGGTCAGAGGCGGTGGGTGGTGGTGGTGGTGGTGGTGTGTGATGGGTGGTGGTGTTTGCACCCCAGCTCCACCACCAGAGAGAGATTATATCACGTGTGCCCCTCCCCCCTCTACACCCAGTGCGGGAGACAGCTCAGCATTTCCTCTTTGTTGCATCTCGCTTATCTGGCTCGTGTCGCGATCCTACACGTCTCGCGCGCGCGTGAACAGCCGCGCGCGTGAACAGCCGCGCAAGGGAGCACAATCGTGCAAGGAGCACGCGTGCACCTCGAAGGGGAAAGAATGATTTATAAAAGCGTGAATTAACGCTCCGCCGTCGTCGTCCCATTACGCGAGCGCGTAAATTCAAATTCGCTCCGAGGGGGGGGGGTGACCTTCGGCTGGCCCGGGATTCCTCCGCGCAAAGTTTGGCTGGCGCAGACTGCAGATGAGTCTGGCTCGTTGACGAGGCTGGGCACGGGGGTTATCATTCAACGTCTGCCAAAGGTAGCCACGGCGCTGGAAAGGGTGCAGCGCTGAACTCTGGTGAAGTGCGCGTGGCCTTTCATGGTGAACAACCCTCTGGGGGGGCATTTGGCCGATCGGTTACTGCCGCAGATTTTTTTTTTATGGACGGGCACCGAGCGCCCAGAGAGGTCGGCTAAAGGAATGGGGTGGATGGGGGAGGTTGGAGGGAGGGAGGCAAGGCAAGGGGGGAGAGGGTGCAGATGAAACCAGCCGGAGTAAATCAACACTGATTCAATCAGTGGGCTGGCAACTTGCGTAATTGGATGGCCAGCGTGCTGGTGGTGGTGGTGCTGGTTCCGTGTTGCGTGTGCACGTGTCTCCACAAACACACACAAAGACAAAGACCCCTCCTATAGCCTCAACAGACTCTTGGGGCAAGTGCTGTTAGCGAGTAGCACCCTATGAAGGCCGGCACGGCACACGAGGGGATTGGTGGCAAGCACCACGCCTGGCCTCTTTTGTCTCCCTCAGTGGCGATGTTTATCACACTTCGCACAGGTACTCATTTGAGGCCGAGTCGACCTAGGGGAGGCCCAGGACCGGTTCAGATAATCGTCACCGGTGTTGGTGGCCGTGAGCGGGAATCAAACTCGGGTCGCCGGGTTTCTAGCGCAGCGTAGCGCTAACCGCTACACTACAGCTCCCGCACAAAGACACACACTCACACGCATAAATTTGCCCAGAACTGCCACACGCGTGCACGCACACACACACAATGCACACCATCCGTCACACACACACCCCGACTGCATCTGGCCGTCTCCCATCAGCGGCGGAGGAGGAGAGTGGAGGGGAGCGGCTGCCGCTGCTTCGGCGGCATGAGCCGCACGATTCGACTCGGTCAACAACAGCTGGGAATGAAACGCGACACTCACGACTCCTCGCTGTCATCACCGCGCCGCCCCCCCAAACCCACGGCCTCCTTCTCCGTCCAGTCTCCCCGTCCGTCCGTCCGTCCGCCCTCCATCTCCCCCCTATCCCCGATTCAACGCCACCATTCTCCAGCCCACGCCCTCCCACAGCCACCGACGCCATCCCTCACACACTCACACACTCACGCAGAGTGAATAATCCCCACCATAAAGAGCGTCTTGTGTGCAGTTTCACCCAGGGCAGCTGTTAATTAGGACTGCTTTGGCAGAAGCTACTGCAGCCGAGGGGTGCGGATAGGCCCTGTCCGCTATAACAATGGCAGTGTTGTGCCAGTCTCTGACTCCGCTACTAAAGTTTCTGTCAAGTCAGGAATTTATTTATTTAAAAATAAAATTTACGGGACACTCGCACACACTTGTCTCGAACTCGCTCGCCCTGTCACCGCCGCCACCACACTCACCACCACCATGAGCACCACACTCCCTCCAACATGGCTACCACAACCACCACCACGGTCACCGCCGCCCCCACCACGGCCACCATGGCCACCACCACCACCACAGCTACCACGGCCACCATGGCCACCACCACCATGGCCACCACCACGGCCACCACCGCCGCCCCCACCACGGCCACCACCTCCGCCACCACCACGGCCACCACCGCCACCACCACGGCCACCACAGCCACCACCGCCGCCACCCTCCCAACCGCTAGATCGCGCCAAAAGCGTGACGCGAGCGCGAGTTGTGGTCGAGGGCTCGAGCCACTCTGGCACGTCACCGTTCCCACCCCCCACCCCCCAACCCCCACCCCAACCCCCCGCGATGCGCTAACCGGCGCGCCACCGCCCCGTCGACTACGATACGCGTTGCATTCGAGAACAACTTAAATTCTCGCCGCAAACCCGTTAACACGTGCGCGCAAAGGACGCTTTTACTAACGACAAGGCCCACGGCTCGACGCCCTTACCGGCTACCAACGTACGCCCGACAGACCGCACCGGCATACGGCTTGGCAGCGACGTGACCTTGTGACCCCTCCCTCACCCCTCCCCCGCAACCGCTTTCACGCTCCAGCGTTCCCTGCAGACGTCCGCGCTGGTCGCCCCGAGTTGCAGGCAACTGCCCTGCAACTCGCCGACCGACCGAACAACTTGAGGGCAGCAATGCATTTGCGGAGGGCGTCTGCACCCGGCGGCTCTCGGTCTTCGTTGTCACTCCGCGGTGATCGCCCCGGGAAGATCGCCGCCGCCTCGTCGTCGAGTCTGAAAACTCTCCCGTCTCTCTCTCTCTTCGGGGAGGCTCTCCCACCAAGAATTCGTGGCGGTCTAATGGGACTAGTGGGAGGGCGCTGTTGTGTTGCCGCTGCTGCTGCTGTTGTTGTTGCCGTGTACAATCCCAATCGAGGACGTTTTACCGGTAATTATCTATCTGCGCACTGGGATATTTTTGGCTGTGGGAGGAAGCCGGAGGAATGGGGGCGCGGGGGGGGGGTGGGTGGAATAGGGGTGGGAGAGTTAGAACGATTAAACAAACTCGACAGAGAACGTCTCCCGAGTCGAGGGAGTCGAACCGCGACGGCCGTTGACGCGGGGAGTTCTCGTGTCCGACGGCGCGGCCGGGATCCCCATGCTCAAAGCCGACTTCGGCGAGCGCACCCCGATGACCAAACCGGCCGCAGGGCGCCCCCCCATCTTGTCGCATCTCGGAAGCCATGTAGCGGGGGGGCTGGACAGGTGTTGGTGGAGAGAGAGCGGGAGAGCGCGAGAGAG